CTGTGTGGTAAAGTCCTAAAAATGGAGCATGTAATGATCACCGTGACGCAGGCTGTACATTTTATCTGAGCTAAAAGTTTAAATCACCATCAATTTCAGTCTTTTATGTGGGAAATAGATTCAGAGTTTGCCGACATTCCTTATCATACAGACGTCCGCTGGCTGAGTTGGGGAAAAGTTCTCAACAGAGGTTTTGAGCTCAGCAAGGAAATCTGTCTGTTCATGGACATGGCATGTATGATGCGGCGAAGGCATTTCAAGTGAAGCTGTCACAAATGCACCAGTGCAACTTGCCTCACGTTCCCTGTTGCCAAGTAATGTTGAACAAAGTCGGCGCACTTTGCTCCGCTAACATCACTGTTTTATCCCTTGTTCTTCCTGTTTTGAAAAACCGTCTTTCTCACTGAACTGCTCACTAAACTAGAATTGTATTTGCTGGAAAGTGACAGAAATATAATCTCATAATAATTATTACAAGAGCAGGTTGGGATGCATAATTGATAACAGGAAAATACACTGCTCGGTTACGTCAAATCATCATCAATGAATGTGGTAAAACAGCATCTACAGCTTTATCATTTGAGATGAATTTTTCCACACGTCCACTCTTACCTGTTTCTCTTTGTCCTCCTCTCTCAATCCTTGTTAAATCTTACAGTGAATAAAAGACATGAACTGATCCACATCTGTTTATAACAATATTCAAACCCAGTCTGCAGCTGGACACTCACAGGTAACATCATTTTGACTTGCTGTCACCTTGATCTGCAGCTATACCAGAAAAAAACACTGAAGCCCAATTCCATCAGAATAGGAAGAGAAATCTTTAACAAACTAAAATAATAAATTGCATCATCTCCTCAGCTGGCGACTCGCAATATACCAGCAGACTAGTGGATCAATAGGTTCAAGTTAGCTATTAATTTCTAGTAGTTTAAAATACACCATCTACTAGTTTTATACATGATTTAGAGAACAAATACAAATAAGCAGACACTTTATAAGTCACAGCAACGTCCCCGCACTATCAGAACAGTTTGAACTTTTGCTAAATTTCAGTTAAAGTGTGTTTTAAATTGGTGTCACTAATCTTCTTTCTGCCGTAACAACTAAAGTCTTATTAGTCAATCAATGACTGAATGATTGTTTTTGACTACATCTTTTCTATTAAAAATAATGTTTGAGTTGTACAAGTTATTCTACAAATATTTAACTTAAATATAATATCTATGTTAAAGGATTCCTAGATCACCATATGACATGTAACGTTTACCTACAGTTGAAGTAGGTAAACGTTCCATGTTAAATTTAAATCAGGTATTTTTATCTCATAACAATGAGATATGGTGTAAGCTGTTGCTAGCATATCAAAATGTCGTGTCGGAAACACTCTGGACTCGTCCGGGATTTGAACCCGGGCCCGCTTACACCCAAAGAGCTCGCAGATGTTTGGTTACTTTGTCACTATGCTGACTAACTGTCTTTGATTTGTTGGAAACGGTGATATTTAGCACAAAATCCAACAGGCTTTATATCAGAAAGCTAATCTTTCACATACACCGTAATAATGAAATCACCGTCCTCCACTGCTTTATGTTGGCAGGTTCTAAGTAGAGAGAGTCTGACTAGACGTTGTTACTGGGAAGTGGAGTCGAGAGGGAGAGGGGTTAAAGTTGCAGTCACATACGAGAATGAAGAACATCAGTGTAGATTTGAAATGAATGCTAGAGGTGAAACACACCGTGGTGTAATAATCATTGATTACACACGGGCAATTCAGGATGTAATATAGATTCTAACTTGAAAGTTCCTCTTCGTAAGGTTAAGATTAGTGGTATAGGTTGTATCACAGAGTCTCCCGGCCTCCCCTTCCTACCTTTTACTCATACATGAGTAGTAATATGTATGTGCTTTTATCACCCCCCCCCGCCACCACCACCCACCAGCTCTTTTGCACTATTGTATTGTAGAGATGCTATATGCTCCTCAGCCCCCGAGCTTTACAGGGTTTAGGCTGATCGTTTATTTTTCTCAGTGTATGTAATGACAGGGAAAGTCTTATAGCTACCAGAGGGGTTGAAAACAGGAGGTTAAATCCTTACCCTCCAAAACTTCGAAGAGCGCACGACATGGTTTAAGGACTCCCCTTTTTATACAGGGGAGCAACTGGAGTGGTTTGCACTGTCTGTTTAGCCAGGTTGATGACGCCATCAAGAGGGACAGACACAACACTGCATACGAGGGTATTAGAAAACGCCTTGTTTTTGACAATTTAGTGTCAAAAACAAGGTGTTTTCTAATATTCCTATAGAGGATGCAGCGCAACTGTGGGACCTCGCAGAGGGTCTGCTAATCCAGACCCTGCCGACTCCTTCCCCCACTCCACAAGGCTGCACTGCAGACCCAACTGGATCAGACCTGTCAGAGGAAACAGTAATCAACATTAAACTCGCAACCCTCCACCTGCTGGAGATTGTGCTGAATGAGTATCAACAAGAGATAACGGGGATGTCCAAAACCATGGGCTGCATCTTCCTGAAGATGCATTTGTAGGCCGATTACATCACAGCCAGGTGACGAAGGCTGTCCAAAACTGTAGACTCCTCCAAATGCAGCTGACAAATGTGTCCTTTATTCAAATGCATCTGAGAACAGGTGAGTCTTCAACCTGGATTTAAATAAACTGAGTGTTTCAGCTGATCTGAGGCTTTCTGGGAGTTTGTTCCAGATATAAGGAGCATAAAAGCTGAATGCAGCTTCTCCATGTCTGGTTCTGACTCTGGGAACTGATTAAAAAACCGGATCCAGATGACCTGAGGGATCTGGATGGTTCATACTGGGTCAGGAGGTCACTGATGTATTTTGATCCTAAACCATTCAGAGCTTTATAAGATAAGATACCTTTATTAGTCGCACAAGGGGAAATTTCAGAACTTTAAAGTCTATCCTCTGACAGACAGGCAGCCAGTGTAAAGACCTCAGAGCTGGACTGATGTGGTCCACTTTTTTGGACTCGAGCAGCAGAGTTCTGAATGAATATTGGGTGTGGGGGGAGATTACCATTTTATGACTAAGGATGTTGTTAGAAGCAGTTGGAAGTCACGCACACAAAGAGACACACATTCTCACACACTCACACACACACACACACACACACACACACACACACACACACACACACACACACACACACACACATTCTCACATTACACATACACACTCATAGTGCCTTGTCTTAGAACCATTTGGGTGGGAGGTGCTTTTGCTGTGATGTGTATTGTGTGAACTGTTTTGGGAGATTTGAGATCGGCCTGTAGTTGTTCATTTGTGTCATGTCAAGATTGTCCTTTTTCAGTATAGGTTTAATTACAGTTTTTAGTTGTTCTAAAAACACACCTGACATTAAAGAAATGTTGACGATCTGTAACAGGTCTGATTCCAAAGTCTTTGAGACCTTTTTGGAAAAAACTTGTTGGCAGGACATCTAAACAGCAAGAGGAGGAGTTCAGTTGACCAAAGATCTCCTCCAGGTCTTTGCTGTTAATAGGTTTAAACTGTTTCATGGTGTTTAAACTGTTTTTTGGTGGACACAGTACATATCCTGGATCTGCTGTTGATGTACCAATTGTTTGTCTAATCTTTTTGATTTTTTCTGTGAAGAATTTGGCAAAGTCATTGCAGGCCATGGTCGAATGAAGTTCAGCTGCGACTGGCACAGGAGGGTTTGTTAGCCTGTCAACTGTAGAAAATAAGACCCGAGCATTATGGCTGTTTTTAGTGATGATGTCAGAGAAGTAGGACCTTCTTGCACTCCTCAGTTGTAAATTATAATTGTGAAGTTTCTCTTTATAGATGTCATAGTGAACCTGGAGGTTTGTTTTTCTCCATCTGCGCTCAGCTTTCCTACACTCTCTTTTTTCATTTTTCACCAGTGTGGAGTTTCTCCATGGAGACTTTTTCCTTCCAGAGATAACCTTCACCTTAATGGGAGCAATAGTGTCCATTACATTTAACATGTTAGCATTGAAGCTATTGACGAGCTCATTGACTGACCCTCTGGACAGGTCAGAGGTTAATGGGAAGACCTGGTTAAAAATCTCACTACCGTTTTCAGTTATACACCGTTTTGTGATCACTGCTGTTGATATATTTGTGTGGGCTGAAATTTTACTTTCAAAGAAAACACAGTAATGATCAGACACGCCCACATCAGACACAGTAACCTTTCAAATGCTCAGGCCCTTGGAGATCAGTAGGTCAAGAGTACGGATGGGTACCGGTATCCGGTGCCATGATGGCACCGGTTCTGACATAAACGGTAGTAACCAGACCGAAAAGCAGCGCACATTTCAGTGCTTTATTTCGGTGCTTTTTTTCCCTGAGATGTCATACACTTTGGATTCTAGCCAATCAGTTTACCTTTGCAAGCGTAGTAAGCAGGCCCAGGTACGTAAGTTCTTTTAGAGCAGAGCTACAGATTAAAAATGCCCAAGGCAAAGCGGTCAAAAGTCTGGCTGTACTTCACAGCAAAAGATGTAAACATATCAGATTGTAGCGGGAAAATGATTCTGTGAACCTTTCTGCAGATCTTTAGGAGTGCTCATCATTACATTGCATACTTCTCATTGCTCCTGTTCACTGTATTATTCCATTCTGTTCTATTCTGGTACATTGTATTAATGCATTACAGCACATACTGTTCAATTAGCAGCACTTCAGTTTTAAAATTAATAGCATAGAGTATGCAACATCATGTCAACTACATCATTAACAGATAATATTTTAAATTCTCAGTATCTCTCTTACACATGCAAACTCACACACACAAAAGCTATGTCCCAATTCATAGGCCACACATTTTGGAAGACCCGGCCTTCGTGGTCTGCGTGGGCCGGCTCCTTCGAAGACCGAGAAGGCCTTCTGGTTGCATACTCTATGCTGATGCAAGCTCAGCAGCCTGCAACAAGTGCTTTAAGGTGATACTTAATACTCTGCCCCATTCATGAGAATATCATCAGGTAAACCAGAGACAGGCTCTAATGTTTTATTCTCCATAGCAATAATACTGACAATTAATTCGCGACTGTTACTCTTGAACATTGGTGAAAGCAAGAATGTCTGCCAAACTTATGCTAACGATTAAAACCACCTAAAGCTGCAAATAACACAGTAATATCAGCACTAAAGAAAAAGTCTAATCAATCATCAAAGAAACCAAAAAAGTGGCAGCAGTGTTTTTACATTACTTACCATTTGCAGTGGAAGAATACACTGACGGAATAAAACATGGGAGCCTTGTTTTCCTTACATGGCTAAACAAACACAAGATGAAGTCCCACCCAAATAAAGTCAGTCATTAACTAGACAACAAAAGTTTAACTAACAGGTGATGGTATGGTATGCAAAGAAGAAAAGCGCAACTGCAAGATCAGTAACAATGATTACAGAGAAAAAAAACTGTAGACTAAAACACACATTTATCCAGTTTTCTGTCAATGACTTCTGTCTATTTAAGTTTAATGAACTCGGCAGAGACGCCATCAGATTCACAAAGCCAAAGTCCAGCATAGAGCGGCTGAGTGAATGTGGTCTGGACTCTGTGGAGGAGAGTCATGGTTTCAGAGACGCTGTAGAAAGACAGAATACCTGCTCTGTGATCCAGGTACACTCCTACTCTGGAGGACCGAGGACCTGAGAGGACAGTTTGGATTTTGTTGTACCAAAATTCATATTTGTTGATATAACACTTCAGTGACCACGATTTTTGATTGAATCCAAAAAAACACAAGTCTGATTTTCCTACTCTTCGGATATTCTTGTATGTGACTGCTACTTCAACTCCTTTTCCTCTCCACTCCACCTCCCAGTAATAACGTCCAGTCAGACTCTCTTTACTCAGGATCTGAAGCCATCCAGTAAATCTGTCTGGGTGATCAGAATAGGATTGTTCTTCTTTGGTATACATAGCTTTTCTGTTCCCCTCAGATAATAACAGATGTGTGTTTGCTGTGTTTGGATCCAGTGTGATTTCTTGTGAATATTTTAAGAATCCAGCTCTGGTCTTTGGCTCTGCTGGTGACAGTAAAACATCCACTTCAGTGACTGTCAGTGAGATGTTTGTCCATTCCTCTCTCAGGATGTCCTGTAGTTTATCTCTGGTCTCTGACACAGCTGCTGTCACATCCTCAAAGTAGCTCAGAGGACGAATATTGATGCTGGATGAGTGTGTAGACTCACTGAGTGCTGACAGTGAGGGGTAGTTGTGTAGAAACTGGTTGTGATCCTCTGTGTGTGAGAGCTGCTCCAGCTCGCCGTCTTTCCTCTTCAGCTCAGCGATCTCCTGCTCCAGCTTCTCCTGAAGCTCTTTGACTCGACTCACTTCAGTTTCCTGCTGGGATCTGACCTGCTGCTTCACATCAGAGCTTCTTTTCTGGAGGAGACGGATCAGCTCAGTGAACATCTTCTCACTGTCCTCCACTGCTTTATCAGCAGAGCCATTGATGGCCTCCACCTCCTGTTGAAGCAGCTTCACATCTTTCTCTCGCTCCTGGATTCTCTGCTGGATGTTTAGTCGTCTCACCTCGAGCTCCTTCTGCTTCTCAGTCCTTTCTGCTGCAGCTGGGACTGTTTCATGGCCTTTATGTTCATCCATTGTGCAGAGATAACTGATACTCTGCCGATCAGTACGACAGAAAATCTTCATCACCTCATCACGACGAGAGCAGATGTTCTCCTGGAGCTTCTTGGAGGGGGCCACCAGCTTGTGTTTCTTTAATGGAGCTGCATCATAGTGAGGTTGGAGGTGTTTCTCACAGTAAGAGGCTGGACAAGATAAACAGGACTTGATGGCTTTCAGCTTCCTCCCAGTGCAGACATCACAGGCCACATCTTCAGGTCCAGCATAGCAGAGATCAGCTGGAGCAGCTTGGAGTCCAGTCTTCTTCAGCTGCTCCACTAAAGCTGCTAACATGGTGCTTTTTTCTAGGACAGGCCTCGGTGTGAAAGTCTTCCTGCACTGAGGGCAGCTGTGGATTCCCTTCCTGTCCTCTTCATCAAAGTGAGATTTAATACAGTTCCTGCAGTAGCTGTGTCCACAGGTTGTAGTCACCGGATCCTTCAGTAGATCCAAACAGATCGAACAACAAAAGGTTTCTCGATCCAGCTGAACTCCTTTTTCTGCCATTTCTCTGTGCCAGTAACAGTGACGGTTTCAGTTTCTGTTTTGTAGAAATGAAACTAGCCTGAGGTCTGAACTTAATGTGTGTCTGCAGTGAATGGAGCCTGTCAGCCCTTAGATATATATCTATATACGTAAGAGGAGAGAATGAGGAAATGCATGCACAAAGAGTAGTTTCTATGTTTAGAAGAGGAAGGAGTGGTCAGGTTGTGAGTGATTCCAGGAATAGGAGCCCTTTAAAGTAGACACTGTGTTTTATACCCTTTTCTGTACAGAGCATAATTAACAGAGTTTTTGTGTGTGTGTGTGTGGGGGGGGGGGGGGGGGGGGGGGGGGTCAATTTTTCATGGAGTCTCTCTTTTGAAACAACTCCTTTTTCATTTTTACATTTTTTTTGTTTTGTTTTGTAATCAGCTGTGTTTCAAATGATTTTTGGACATTTTTCTTCTGAAATTTTTTTTTCAAAGTCAAAAAATGGAGTTAACAGTCTATCAAATGATCAAAGGATTCAAACATCAATAAACATATAAGTAAGACATAAAAATCAATACAGAGATTTGCTTTATGAAAAAAGCAATGAAAATAAATTTTTTATTATATTACTGATAATGAGTGAGGCAGTGAAACAGAGAAACAAAAACATCACCTTATTGGACACTTTGTCATGATCCCTGGTTTTAAACTGAGTTGCTGAATTTCAGTTTCTTTTGTCACAGTGTTTTTAGTTTCTGATTATTGTTCAGATAGATTTCTGATTCCTGTTTTGATTGTGTTGTCATTCCAGTCTTGAATTTAAATCCTTGTTGTGTTTGACTTGTACACTCTAAGAAATGATACACTGATGTTGCTAGCATTATGTAAACGTTTTATGTTAAAATTAATGTCACCAATTGATTTTTAACTCTAAACACAAGGATATTGTTTTGATTTTAATTAATAACACAATATTTCAATACAACAAAATGCAGTACATTAAATCCAATGTAAAAAGTTCATTTAAAATGAACAGCACTTTAATTTGAAGAGGATTGTCCTAACAGGCTCTCCGTACTTCTCAGTTTGCACATGTGCAGTGTGGAAGTTTGAACAACCGCCATTTTCAACCGAAACTTGCATCATGCTGATGCAATCAGCATGGATAAAATCCATTGCCATTTGAGGATTATTTGGTAAGTACAACCATTTAAGGATGACAAATTTGGTTAATGTGTACTAAATGATAAACATCCGACATTTTCGGGAGTACTTCTGTATGTTTTATTTTAAAACAAATGATGTCTGGTAATTTTTTTTTTAGCATTCTAGCTTGTATGCCTCTCACAGGTGTTAGTAGTCAGGCATTTAACAAATATTATTGGGCCCACTTCGGTGTAATTTCCCAAAATGTTTTACGATTCATGTTAACCTGCAACTTGCCTACTAAGAACTGCAGCTTTAAAATTACTCCCAACATCTACCGCGCATGCTCCCTGGTGTCAGTAATGAGCACCAGGAGCGCCAGCGATCCTATCCGTTTGAAGAATGAAATATATGTATAGTGTATTTTAGAAACATGCATCAAATAAGTTGCTACATTGTTTGAAGGAATTCTACCCCGTGTTGATATCTGGTTTAGTGTTAATATCAGTGATTAAAGTGTAAGACATGCATTTATCTTGTGTCATTAAAATGCAGCATTATGTGTAATACAGCTATATGTAATGCATTTAACTCCTTGTATCAGTTCCATTGATTATCAAAGTGACAATTTGTGTGTTCCCCCCTTCAATTTACGTTGGTCAGCTAGTTCTGTCTGTCAGTAGATGCAACAAAAGTGGCTCAGATGTGATTGTGGTTACTGTTATCTTTAATTGTAACTCTTGTTATCGTAATAAATACCAGAAAATATTGTGATAGGATTTTGAATCCATATTGCCGAGTTCTAATCTTCTATTTCATTTTAACATTTTTAGGGGTACAATTAATAATTATATTGTTGAACAGTCTAGAATTGATTAAAGCAAAAGTGAAAGCTTTCATGTATTGTCAAAATTGAAAAGCTTCTAGTTTTGTGTTCATATATTTGTTGATCTGACTCAGAAGAGTCAGTGCCTAACCAATCATTAACCTCACTGAATGTCACTAATGTGAGTTGTCAAACATTGTTTAATTACTCATCGCTAATCAGTCATCTGTTAATATTTTTGACTTTGGTTTGGGAAGAGGTGGAAAAGAACCAAAATCTTGTCTCACATTGAGTTCTTATCCCCACCAGAATATCAGCATTGATGCTCGACGGGAATGCGTTCTAAAAACTATCTGTGTCTACTTAAATAAAAAGCCAGATGACCTGTTCAAGGAATTCTTGGTAAGTTAGAAAAGGGGAAAGATCAGTTTGTTTGTTTGTTTGTTTTTTTTTAATTTGGGATAGTAAATTGAAGGTGGGCTCATTTGTTCATATGTATCTATATGCAATTAGCTTTTCCCCCCACCTTGTTTTCATTTTAAGGATGTGGATCTTAGTGCAAGAAGAGAAATGGAGCAGCTGACTTTAGGAGTCTGTGTTGTCAGACATGAAGGAGCAGACTCTGCAGATACACCTGAGGACATTTGTGTCATCATAGAAGGATACACTGTGCTGAAAGCTCTTAGTGATGTGGCAAAGGGGTGTGCCCTCCTGCTTGGACTAATCTACAGTCTAAATCTGAGGTACCCAAAGCACATGAAATACATATTTGAATTTCTTCAGAAGGTGCTGATGGAGTTGGATGGGAACAACCTATCCATGAAGGTGCAAGTTCTGAAAAACAAACTGCTTGAGTGAAGCCGCCTGCACTGAACTATAGAGGACACTGAACTGGTTACAAGATTCTCAAACCCATCTCCTTGCACTTTATAAACGGTTCAGTTTGAATTCCGCAAGAACTTCTGCAAGGCCTCTTACCTTTTGGCATGCTTTGTTCATGTTGAACTTTTACCACCATCCAGCTACATTGAACAAGACTGCTCCTAAGTTTGGACTTCATTTTAAGTTTTGAAAAACTGAAAGTTTTTTTAAATATGGACAAAAATGCCACTAAAAATCATTTCTACTTGTTGTTTATAGGACTGAATTGTGAGTTTTCCATTGTACCCAAAGCAAGTTTAAATTAAGTCATGTTAAAAATGTTGGAATCACAACACTTTCCAGTTTTAATAACTTGATTTTTACATTCTGTATTATGTCTTCCTGAACTTAATATGCACTTGCATATATGTGAAGATATTTTTGTTTAGGAAAAAGACATTGATCTAGAATTTTGAACAGCTCAAAGTTTGCTTCAGCACATTTTACACCAAGTGTTATTAAAGTTGGGTTAACTGAATAAAATTGTGTTTGATTTATTCAATTTACTTTAAATAGAGTAAGTAATTTAATCCTATAGTTTCATTAGAGCTCGTTTAGGGTTAGTCAATTTATCAGATGTACTTAAAATTTGTTGTTCAAATTAAATGTGTCATACATTTTAGATTTCACTAACCCAGTTGTGTGGAACCGGTTGACATAACTGGGTGGAGTAAATGCAACATCTTATTTTATAGAGTAGGTAGGGCTTGTTTTGGTTGAGTAGATTTTATTTAGTGTTGTCAATTTAAGTCAACATGTTAGTTAGATCAACATTATGATATTTAGTTAATACAACACCATTCTTGTGATTTTCATTTAATTAGCCAAAACTTGACAGATGTACTTAAAATTTGTTGTTCAAATTAAGTGTATCATACATTTTATATTTCACTAACCCAGTTATGTGGAACCGGCTGACATAACTGGGTGGAGTAAATGCAACATTTTATTTCTTGAGTTCTTGCAGTAGCTGTGTCCACAGGCTGTAGTCACCGGATCCTTCAGTAGATCCAAACAGATGGAACAAGAGAAGGTTTCTTGGTCCAGCTGAACTGTTTTATGTGCCATTTTTCCTGTCAGTGTCAGTGACTGTGTGAGTTTCTTTTGTTTTGGTGAAACTAGTTTGATCTCTGGTCTAAACATGCATTTCTGTAGTGAATGATGCCCATCAGCTCAGAAACATGACCACATGTTGGTTTCACACATCTTTAACCTGTATATCCAAACAAGGGAGCACAAACAACAGTAGGTCAACATCAAGTTTTTATTGAACATTATGAATGAGCAAGGTACCACAACGCTACATTGCAAACTAAGCTAGACATGCAAATGACAATGATTAGAACTTCTGGACCCTAAGACCTGTTTGTTTATGCAAAAAAAAAAGTGTTTAACAAGAATTTTGTAGCTCTGAAAACGCCACGTCCAGATGAACAGAATCAACTTTTTGCGATTTACTTACCTGGATTGAGCATGCATCAAGATAAGAATCATATTGGTTGGAAACATGGAACTTATTTATTTTATTCTAGTTAATTTTATATTATTATTATTATAATTAGTAGTAGTAGTAGTAGAGTAATATTTAATGTCAATTTAAACTAAACTAACACTTAAAATATATTTTTAAATTTATCTTGTGACTTCTTGTAGATCCCATCTGCAGTACATTCAAGGTCCACCAGATGGCTCTAGGTCACACTTTTAAAATCACAGCGTTTCTTATAAATTCACTCAGCATTAAGGAAATAAAATCTGATGCAGCATCAGGGTGATATAAAATTCAATATACAAGTACTATGTTGTGTATGATTTTTCTTCAGTGCTTTCAATTTTAGTACTTTGGTCCTAAAATGTTTGGACAATGTCAGTTTTTAAGGATTTGCTCACTTTTTTCACCACTTTGACAAAACAATCATTAAATTATTCTTTTAAAAATAATACTACTACATGAGAGCACAGGGTTGCACGTCACCCTGAAAGCCATTCCCAACACCTTTTTCCTTCTTTATTTATTTCTGATCAAATGTTATGATTTCCCAAGGAGATTTCCTAATAACGGTGACAGTTCATATGTACTTTACATACATGTAAGGTACATATGAACTGTCACCATGTCTGTCCTTACTTGTCGTCCCCTGTACGCTAGAAGTGCTAAAGTCTCTGAAGAGCTGCACTGGTTACTTTCGCAACGATTTGTTTGAACAGATTAAACTTGCACGTCAGTAAAAAAACAAAAAACAATGTGAACATGCACAACAATCTCTTTAGCACACGCCAAGGAACACATCACAAACAGGTCAGTTATTTTTTTTTTAAATGCTTTTATAATCTTATAGGTTCAAAAGAAAAAGAAGAGCGAGGACTTCTCCTCCACAACTTACCAACAGGCTGCACGAATCATGAACGAATCGTTCAATACTCCAGAATCACTTTACTGACTCATGAATCATGATTCACAAGCCCCACTGACTCACTGACTCATCCCTGTTGCTATTAGCAGCAATGTATCTAGCTTATAATTAAAATTGTGGAGAAAAACACAACATCCAGTATCGTAACAAAAAATTTCTGCTCTGAACTGGAAGAAAAAAACCCTGAGTAGACGCTCACATCAAGAAAATAGCTCCTCGGTTCACAGTAGCATCGCTCTGCTAACATGCTAACAGCACATTTAAGCTACTCACCCCCTTCCTTCCTGTGCTGAATCATGTGAACGAATCACTCACTCATCACCCCCTCCCTCCTGGCTCACAGCTTCTTCTTCTGCTTGGTTGGCAACCAATGTTAAGGCGCATTACCGCCCCCTGGCTCACAGCTCAGTGGACATTTATTTGAGAAAATATATATTTAAGACAGTTAAGGAAAATACTAATAAAATAAAAATAAACAAAATAAATGTTTATTAAGCAGTTTTGATAGGAAATTGCTTAATTTTAGAAATTTTTTTGCTCTTTTTTGCTCTATAAAATAGTTGGTTTTTTTTATCATTCATCTTAGCAGTAGGATATACATGAAAAGAGAAACAAGTTAAGTTTCAGTGAAAATGTAAATTTTTTGCACTCTCTGGTCAACTGACTCAGTGAATCAAATGACTCAAAATAACCGATTCACTTTGGTGAGTGACTCATTAAAACCCCATTCAGTAAAAAGAATCAAATTTACCATCACTACTCGAAACGGAGCAAACTAACGGAAGCTGATCAGCTTCCGGGGGGCAGGGGGCGTAGTTAATATGGAATATACTTGTAGCGAACCACCGAATGAAGGATGACACTTTACTCATTAGGTTTTGAAGACTTAATGGCAGTAAACCATTAACCTCACCATAGGAGCTGGGGATTTATACACAGAAACAGCGTGTAAGTTAAAAATCTACACTCTTAACAATCATAAACCTTACATCATAAAATAGGATTCAACATAAAATTTAACAAATGTAGCCTCTGTCACACAAAACATATAAACATGTCCTTATCTACGTCATGAAACTACCATGTGCCTCTATCAAGGGGGCTGCTAATGACAAAAGAAATCTCCAAGGGACTGATGCTAAAACTACGCCGACAGTGTTTCACGGGAAATCGTCCCTGCAAAATAAAAGCTTCTAAACTCAAACACAAAGCTGGTGATAGGAAACAGCGATAAGTGCCAAAATGAAGTGCAAGGAACTAAATAAAAGTATTTAGGGTTATTTACAATACTGTTTGCAAATGTAGTCAACCCTTCTCACGTTGTGTCAAAAAGGATAAGATGACAGAGGCGGGCAGTGTCACGGTCCTGGGTCGGTGACCCAGTGTTTTGAGTTCCTTGCGTCTCTGAGTTTTTGTATTACGATCTTAGTTCTCTTTGTTGCCCCAGTAGTCTAGTGTCTTAGTTCGGCTTTCTTGTATTCTCTTCAGTATTTTTTAGTATCCGCCCTCTGTGTCTCCTTGTTATTGTTCTGTGTTTCTTAGTTGCTCTGTCTCCCCTTGTCAAGTCTGCATCTATGTTACATTTCCTGTTTTACTTTGAAGGCCTGTGTCCTACGTGAATGTATTGAGTTTCGCTTCCCTTGGGTCTCGTTATATCCGTCAAATCGTCAAACACTTAAAGTAGCATCACCCTGCCACTCCACCAACCTGTACAAGATGCCAACATGAAAAATTACTTTGTGAATAATAATTGTAGTTTTCCAGCTAACTTCACTATCTTCTCCTCGTTCTTCCTGTTCTTGTACAACCTCTCTCTCTTCATCCTCCTCACTAAACTAGAATTGTATTTGCTGGTAAATGACAAAAATATAATCTCATAATAATTATTAGAAGAGCAGTTTGGGATTTGTGATTGTTAACAGGACAACACACGGCTTAGTTATGTCAAATCATCATCACTGAATGTGGGTTAACAGAATCTACAGCTTTATCATTTGAGGTGAATTTGACCACATGTCCACTCTTACCTGTTTCTCTTTGCTCTCTCCCTCTCTGTCCTCCTCTCTCAGTCCTTGTTAAATGTTACAGTGGGGGAAAAAAACAACATGAACTGATCCATATCGGTGTATAACAATAGCTGGACACTCACAGGTGACATCATTTTGATTTGCTGTCACCTGGATCTGCAGCTGTACCGAAACACTGAAGCCCAATTAGATCAGAATAGGAACAAAAATCGTTAAAAAAATAAAAATAATAAAGTTCATCAGCTTCTCAGCTGGCGACTCGCAATATACCAGCAGACTAGTGGATCAGAAGGTTAAAGTTAGCTAATAATTTCAAGGGGTTTAAGCTAATATTATTGATGCTTTTTAGAGAAGAGATAAAAATAAGCAGACACTGTATAAGTCACAGCAACGTCCTCGCATTATCAGAACAGTTTGAACTTTTGTTGTATAGTTAAAGTGTGTTTTAAAATGGCATCACTTATTTGTATCATGACCTCTTTATCTTCTTTCTGACACACCAATGAATGTCTTATTAGTCAATTAATGACTGAATGAGTTTTTTTGAGTACATCATTTATGTTAATTAATTAATGTTTGAGTTATACAAGTTAACTTTGCAAAAGCTTAACTTAAATATGATATAAATGTTAAAGGATTCCTCAGTTGAAATTAGACATTTTCATCCATAACTATGACATAAATAAAGCATCCGAAAGCAATTCGGGCTCGTCCGGGATTTGAACCCGGGACCTCTCGCACCCAAAGCGAGAATCATACCCCTAGACCAACGAGCCACACGTGGTCACCCGTAGAGCTCACAGATGTTCGGTGATTTTGTCACTATGCTGACTAGCTTTCATTTGTTGTAAGTTGTTCTGTTTGGCAGCTAATCTTTCACATACACAGTAATAATGAAATCACCGTCCTCCGCTGCTTTATGTTGGCAAGTTCTGTGTGGAGAGATTCTGACTGGACGTTGTTACTGGCAGGTGGAGTGGAGAGAGAGGGGAGATGCAGTCACATACAAGAATGAAGAACATCAGTGTAGATTTAGATTTGCAGGCTGTAATATAGAATATTCTTAAATATGCTAACTTGAAAGGTCCTCTTTGTAAATCAGGTTAAGATTAGTGGTACAAGTTGTATCACAGAGTCTCCCAGCCCTCGCTTCCTACCATATACATGTTACAATTTGCTATGGGGGTGCTAGCTGTATTACACAAGGTCCTTACCCTTCATCTTTGGATATATGTATATAATAGGTAAATCTCAAATCAACCAATTATGGTGGGCCAATCTGAAGGAAACTTTACATGAACATTGTCAGACGTGGAGCAAATATTTAAATCTGTATGTTAAAAAACTAAACAAAAAAATGTGTTATCCCAATTCTCACTTGAGACATGCAAAACAAATTTGCAGTGAGTGTACTTTGCATGTACAGTTATTACAGGTTCATGTTGTGGTTTCAGACAGGTTCTTTATGCTTGAATTTGTTGTGCAGGCTGTAAAGGTGGAAGCATTAATCTTCCTCTCTGTTTTTCTTCATTTTTTGTAATGAAATAAAGTGAGCTCAGTCTAATTTCACCCCATCAAAGTTGCTTGGCGTCTAGTCCATCTGCTCTGGTCCTGATATCAGTCTCATATATATTATAAAATCAGGACATTTGTGTTTGGTCATTTATTTTTTGTAACAGTGCTTCTTGGCAATGAACCTCACACCATTGTGTACACCTCTGTGAAACCTTAAATGGAGCCACATCTGTGAGGAAAATGCATTTGTGGGTTGAAATAAACAGGCTTTGGTATAAGAGTATTTAGTATTAGTGTATTATTAGATAACTAAATGTAATTTTTAAAAAGTTATGCCACCATTATTATAATGGTTGAGAGCTGCAGGTTTGCAGATATTTAGTTTTTCCACAGTAAACTAAACAACAGATTTTCACAACGAGACGTCAGCACACAGAGGAAGCTGTGAGGCGTTTGATTGGACAATGGCGGAGCGTTATGTAATTCAGGCGCCTGACGTCATCAAACCGCGCCAAACAAAGCTTCATGCGTAAAAGGGAGACAGGAGAACGGGATAAAGTTTAGTTTTTCTGAGGTTTGAGGTTTTGTAGAAGCGGAAAGTGTGTAATTTCAACGCTCTGGAGACATCTTCAGAGCCGAGGTGTTTGTTTGGAGCGGAAACGCTGAAGCTGCTGTGAAGAATAAACAAAGAAGAAAATGCCGGTTTTTAAATTTTAAAGTCCGAAGAGCGAGAGGAAAGCTCAAAACGTAAGTCCGTCTCGGTTTAAAGCTTTTAACATAGTCGTATTGATTTTTTTTAGTGGCTAAACAGGGTGGTTGTAAAAGTGACGGAGATATCGATGTTAACTATAGAGATACCCGATATTTTTTAGCTTCGGGCAGTTTGAAGTACGACATCATATGGGTAGTTATCAAAACACACACTTGTTGCAGGCAGGATTTGAGTCTCATTATACAAGTATGAACGGTAATGTTCGGGTTTTCTTGTAGGCTCTGGGATTGGTTGGGTTATGTGTTTACATCTGTCTGCGTGGACGGCTTGTGTCAAATACATGGCCAGGAAAAGTGATTACGTGTGTGTGTGTGTGTGTGTGTGTGTGTGTGTGTGTGTGTGTGTGTTTTAACAACAGAGAAATGTTGTGTTATATTTGTTGCGATTTCTGCTGCACTCTTGGCCAGATCTTTCTTGAAAAATAGATTAAAATTTTTTTTTGAGTAAAGCTTACTTTTACCTTTTTACCTGGATAAATGAAGGATGTATAAAAGTCAGTGAGCCAAAAACTAATTGAAGTGTTCTGTCTGCCTCTAAATGACTGATGTTTGACAGATCACAGGTCAATTAGTCATTGCATGAAGGGAAATTATCCTGAAATAAGGAGGAGGAGGTTTTATTTACTCAAACGCTAGTCAAATTCTCAGCAATAACAGAGAAAAGAGAAAAGCCTGTATTTATGTTGAATCAGTTAAAATGGGCACTTGGTGTACACAGACACATCTGACATGTTTTCGGGGAAGGTCTTGCTTTTTTCACTATGAAAATGCAATTCATCATAGCAAAAGACTGCTGGTGTGAAAACTGACACTTGATGGTGATGTACTGAGCTGTTTGGAGTCCTGTGTGAGAGTTTTTCGATAGTCCTTGGCAAAACAATCTCCAGACTAATCCAGCAGATCTTGAGAAAATCATAGTCCCTTGATAGATTTACACTGTGCTACAATAATGAACTGTACACTGCAGTTGGTCAAAACTCTCATGATCAAATTCAGTCCAGCATCAACTTTATTTTGTTTTTTTAATTTGCCTGGAATGTGGCAGCTTATGAGCTCGGGAGGACAGTCTGCTATTATCATTGTATGCCAGTAGTGAGAATATGTGTAGAAGGAATCTGAGAACTGCTCTGTTTGATCAGGATCAAAGGTGATGACAGTTTGCATGTTAAATACATCGCAGCACATTGTTCGTTCAGTGGTGCTAGCTTCAGTTATTGTGCAGATGTACTGTTTATGTTTCCAGGGGAAACCTGGAGTCAGCAGAGACTGAAGAAGTCACTTGGATGAGTGATGAAATGCTACGTCCAGATGGACAGCTGGACGATTGAGCGTGCATCACAACACTCTATCTTTGACTTTATTTGGGATTAAATGCTTTAAATCTTAAATTATATTTACTTATAGATGTTCGAATAAGTGTTTGTGCAACATGGAAAGAAATTTGTTTCTGGTGTTTAGCAGAAAAGGTCTTGAATAATTCTGGGATTTTGTTGTAGGATCTGAATTTGATTGCTGGTGTTGGTGAAATTACACAAATAGATTGCAGAGTGCCATGTGCTTTGTAATTGGTGCTGTAGGTTCACTAATTGGCTCAGAAGTTGTGAGGTTAAAGATTTGCTTTGCTTAATTGTTTTTTTGTTCTTCTTAGTTGCAGATGGTTGCCATGTTTTGGATGCTGTTGTAAGTTGTAGTGGTCATTTTAGTTGCAGAAGCCAGATTGACTTGATGCTTGATGTTGGTTTGTCTGATCGCTGGAGCTGCTGTTGTTTGTAGCAGGTGCTTCATGTAAGACATTATTTTGTCACAAGTGTTGGTGTAGTTTTAGTGTTTGGATTCGTTGCAGAAGTTGTTTAAAAGTTTTAAATATCTTCTTTAGCTACAGTAATCAGTGTATTTTGGCTTTGGGTGTTGTTGTGGGGGCGATTGTTGTGATTGGTGCCATTAAATGTCAGTTGTTACAAGCACATGTGACTGATTTCACTCATATTTAATTAGAATTTTCATACTGTACATAATGTGCTGACCAGCATTTTAAAGGTGCTCTCTTGTATAACAAGGGTTAAATATGCAGTGTATGCTTCAAACCACTCCTTTAACAAAACTCCCACTTTTACTTGAAACATAGCAGCTCCAGTCTGTACAACTATTACAAATATTTTCCATTGGATCCCAGAGAAACTCACACAGTCACTGACACTGAGAGGAGAAATGGCACAGAAAGTTCAGCTCGACTGAGAAACCTTCTCTTGTTCCATCTGTTTGGATCTACTGAAGGATCCGGTGACTACAACCTGTGGACACAGCTACTGCAGGAACTGTATTAAAAGTTTCTGGGATGAAGAGGACAGGAAGGGAATCCACAGCTGCCCTCAGTGCAGGAAGATATGGCATAGCATACAGCTAGGGCTGGATTGTGTAACCCTGAATCCTCCCTTAGTTGTGAAGGCCTGAAGCTGGGGCTTCTATGATGCACTGTTTCTTTTTCAATCACCTGTTTTAACACGTCTTTTACACCTCTCTGCATTTAATCATTAGTTATTAATCTCTGGCTCTCTTCCACTGCGTGTCTTTGCCCTGTCTTCCTCCCCTCACCCCAACCAGTTGCTACAGATGTCCGCCCCTCCCTGAGCCTGCTGCTGCTGGAGGTTTCTTCCTGGTAAAAGGGATTTTTTTTCCATCCCACTGCTGTCAAAGTGCTTGCTCATAGGAGGTCATCTAATTGTTGAGGATTTCTATTTTCTCTGTATTATTGTACGATCTTTACCTTACACCATATTACACCATACTACACTATAGAGTTTAACTGAATCTTTATTTACTGTGTTGATTTATTTAACCTGTCTTTTGCATAATGACCTTTTAATATTGTAAGTATATTGATTTAACTTCTATTTTGTTCATTACTTTGAAATTAACATTTACAGCCTAAGAATTGTGTTCACTGGTGTTTTAAATGCACTCTTCTATATTAAAAGATGGCTCAAAATTGAAACCCTGATAACTCCTCCCTCTTTTACCTGAAACTCTGTAGTTCCACTCTGTCCGCATATTTTCTAAAAATAGTTACTATATACAGCTGGTGTGATTTTGGCCCTTCCACACAGACTTCAAAGGTTCTGTGGGCCCCTTCTGTGAACTCTGACCTTTAGTTCTCTCCATAGGTTTTCAGGTGATTTCTGTAGCTCTGCACATGTGCTAATTGGCTCTTACACAACTCTTCTTGTACAGAATGCTGTTATTCAGTTCAGTGCTGGATTTTGCTACAATAGTTATCCTCAGTCAGAAGGAGAGGCTGAAATCCAGGAGTAAATTGTAAGACTGGAGTTTATTTACATTTAGATGGATGGTACATAGTTATGGCATAGTGTAGGAGAATGTGGTACGGTGATTTGGTGTGGGCTATGCAATCAAGAACAGGAGATATATTAGAAGATAAATAAAGATTAAAGGGTAAAATAGCTGGCTGCAAATTCCTCTAAAACAAATCTGCTAAGGAGGTGCATCAATCTAATACCACTCCTTAAGAGCGTTCACATGTAGTAAAGCACTACCCAAATGGGCCACAAGGGATAAAATGTTTATGCCTTAAAAGGGAAAAAGTGCAGAAAGAAGCATCTCTAACAAGTAGAAAGCGATCTCATGGTAATTTTACTAAAGCGAAACACTGAAACTGAAAATTTATCACACAAAAACTGAATTCAACATTTATAAATCTGCTCTGATTGTATAGAAAAGAATTAAACTGTTCCATCTGTTTGGATCTACCGAAGGATCCGGTGGCTACAGCCTGTGGACACAGCTACTGCAGGAACTGTATTAAAACCCACTTTGATGAAGAGGACAGGAAGGGAATCCACAGCTGCCCTCAGTGCAGGAAGACTTTCACACCGAGGCCTGTCCTGGAGAAAAACACCATGTTAGCAGCTTTAGTGACTCTCCTCCACAGAGTCCAGACCACATTCACTCAGCCGCTCCATGCTGGACTTTGTGTTTCTAATTACGGAGCCACTGCAGAGTTTGTCAAATTGAAATAAAAAGAAGTCATCAAGTTGGGGACAGGTTAAAGTGTTCATTTTAGTTTTTAGTTTCTTTGGTCTCTATTCCTGCTGAGAGCTCACTTTTGTGGTGTTTCCTCTCTGCATAGATCACCCGTCATACTTTAGAGGCACTGATTAGAGAAAAACAAGATCTCATGTTAGTGGCGGGCTTTCAACAAAGAAGGGTTTATAACATTTCGAGGTGAGGATGGCAGAGGAAAACTCTTTCACTGTTTAATAGAAAGATTCTTATAGTGAGCTTTTAATTTGTCAAAAAAGTGTTTGTTTGGTTTTTTTTTGTTCCGTTTGAAGAAAAAAAAATATTTTAAAACCAAATGTTATATAAGGGGCATGATTTAAGTTTGTTTGGTGGAAAAATTAAATGAGTGTTTGCTTCGAGTGTTCATGAAGCAAAGAGAAGGTCTGGAGGAATTTCTCTTTCTTTGAGGATCTAAAGAGAGGAGATGAACTTTGGTGCTTCCATGGACTTTTCTGTATTTAGGAATGGATGTTCATACGTTTTTAATGATTGATTACTTGTGTGTTTTATTTTCATTTGTGTTTTTGGCCATGGATGTACGTAAGAGGATTGGGTCACTGGGGCTCAATCACAAAAACATCTGTCATGAGAGTTTTAAAATAAACTGCAAACACCTGCTTAGCAGCTTTTTGACGTGGGTTCAATTACATATTGCAATTTGGTGAAATCTCTAGTCAAACGCCAAAGTGGTCTCTAAAGATGGGCCGCCGCTCTGACCTCTTTTATCCACATACACAGACAAAAACACAACACATCATGTGAGCCTGAACCTTCAGTTCAGCTCATCCTTAAAACCTTCCCTTCCGAGAGAATTACAACTATGTTTTTCACTTAGCCGTTGCCTCCCTTCTTTCCAAGATGATGATGATGATGATGGTGAAAATAATAATAATTCCTGACATGCAGCGCTTGGATGTCTCTGACCTCCATACAATGGTCCCTTTGGGAAAGTGTATGTGTGATAGAGCATAATTTGTGATGCTATTCTGCACTCATATAACTAAGTTACAAAGTGATATTACTATTATTAAAGTGATCAATACATAAGGCATGGACAAATGTTCTGAATTCTGAAGGAAAGGAAACCAAAACTGAAGTGTTGTTTAAACATGTGACCATGAGCTAATTTCAATATGAAACCACTGAAAAAAAAATTGTTTTTTCTATGCTTTTGTGTTTTGAAGATAAATAAACCTGCTGTTTGTCATTCATTAAAATGCTTTCTGTCTTTAGCTTATGAGACACAATAATTGGCATAGGTTGATGAAATAAAAACCTCCTGCTTTATTTTTTCCCATTGGGCACACACTGAATCCCATTTGTTCTCAGATATTTATACTTTGGCAGCATAAAAATACTGCAAAAGCAGAACTATAATCCAATTTTTACACACATTCCAGTTTTTTATGTTCTAAGAAGATATTTAAAAGAACCAAATACGTTCCCACTCTGTCTGTGTGACCTTACATTAATGTTTTATTCATGGAAAATGGACAGAATAAGCTTACAACTTAAAAACTAATATTCTTATGTAGTCTGGTATGTATGGTCAATGTATAGCAAGTGCGATATAAAGACATAAAGTATTGTTACATTTGACCTCTGATCTTTCCTTTAAGGTCAATAGATTGAAAGTCAATGCGATAAGAATGCCATAAACAGCTAAAAGTGCATTAAAATGGGTTTAAACAGGCTAGATTTTAAAAGCCTGCACTTTGTGGGGCAGTACGAACAAGTGCAAACTTCTTATAGTTTAAAAAGGAAAAAAACTTAAATGAATAAATAGATAATGACAATATTCCCTTCAAAGTAAATCCTGCCCAGACAATGAGCTGCCTCAGTGGAGGTTTGTGCTGCGGTTTTTGTTGATGTTGATGTTTTGATCCCTGTTATCTTTTCAGGATGCTTCTACATTCCTGTGCTGGTTAAGAAGAAAGAGTAGACGATCGATGGAGGGACGACATCGAGAAAGGAGAGAGGAGGGAGAGGAGGAGACGATACATGAGCAGGCGAGAGAAAGAGGGGAACAGAGGGATGGTTCTCTTAAACCTAAATCGGGGATAAAGATGGAGGAGGAAGATGAGGGAAAGGAAACAGAATTGATGAAGGCTTCTCCCAGAGATGAAGCTCAAAGTCAGCTGATTAATGGACACACCCCAATCTCTGCCTCTTCCTCTTTCACCTCTTTTCCCTTCATCTCCTCCCCTCATCAAGGAAGGGGGGGCGAGGATGAAGAGGAGGTCAGAGTCGCCATCCTAACTGTTGAGGACGAGTCCTGTCCTTCAGAGCCCTTTGGCACCACCCAGTTTGAACCAACCAATGAGGATAATGGACAGGCAGAGAGTGGAGGGGAGGGGAAGGAGGATGGAGAGATGGAAGGAGAGGAGGAGGCGGCAGAAGAAGAAAATGAGGAGGAGGAGGCGGCAAATGCTGAGGAGAGAGAGGAGGAAGGGGAGCTGGCGTCACCTGAGGCTCATCTGCAACTTAAGGTAGGACCCACAGTATTTTTTTTTATCTTAGTAAACTTGATCATTTTCAGGCTTCTGTTTGATTAAGCACTTGTGTGTCATGCGCCCTAGAAAGGTGATGTGCGGGATTTATTTTGACACACCTGCCCTACTGTTAGCAAGAGGACCCAAACACTCAGATTCCCTCTTTGACAGGCTTGTCCAAAGTCCAGCTGGGTGGCCAATCATCACTCTAGGTCAGATTTTATATGACCTGTCGTTCTTAATTCAAAATATATTGTGTATTGCTCGCCACCATAAATATAATTAGCCATCCATCCATCCATCAGCTTCTGCTTCTCCTTCGCGGGGGACGCTGGAGCCAATCCCAGCTGTCATAGGGCGAGCGGCGAGGTACACCCTGGACAGGCTGCAAGTCGGTCGCAGGGCAACCATTCGCACTTACATTCACACCTATGGGCAATTTAGATTAATCAATTAACTATCCCCACTAACTGCATGTGTTTGGACTGTGGGAGGAAGCCGGCGAATCCAGGGAGAACCCACACCAACTCCACACAGAAAAGGGGCTGATGGTGGAATTGAACTCAGGACCTTCTTGCTGTGCGGCAACAGTGCTAACCACTGTGCCACCGTGCTTAATAAAGTGTAATTCACCCTATTGTGTGTAATTTCTGTTTTTATCTCATGGTGGCAGCATAGTAGTATAATTCTTATGCTTAAAAAAGGACCCCTGAGTGATTTTCCAGTGGTGCTCTTAGTATAATGTTTGGTCACCCCTGCCCAATGAGAAGCACGTGGTGAGAGTGGGAAGGAAGAACTGCCTTTTAACAGGAAGAAACCTCCAACAGAACCAGGATCAGGGAGAGGCAGTGAATGGTTAGGAGTCAGGGGTAAGGGAATACAAAGAAGAACTTAATCATGTATATTTTCAGTATTTGGATTAAAGGATCATTCTCATTATTTGAGACTGGAGGTTTGCCCATAAAGTGGCTCCTCTGTGGGTCAGTCTAATACTCACCACCTCAGTTTTAGATCTTCGGGGAAACAAAGAGCTGGAGAATTTAGAAACTCTGACAAATGATTGAAAAGCCTGACACATTTGTAAAAAGAGACAACACTTTAAGGATTATTCATGAACACGTTGGGATAAAGAACGACATTTTAAAAATTTCAACTATTTTAACAGTCGTCCAGTATAAAACCTCATTCAGATATTTAAAGTGTTTTTGAAGATGCCTTGATGCCCCATCATATTCTGCTGCTGTAATTGGCTAAAGGTCAGTGTTCATACAGTTTGCATATATGGATAAATATCCCAATTTGCTTACGATTTCTACCTTGCAGCTTTTGTATAATCCAATATGGTGAAATATCCTAAAATGTGAGAGGCGCTTTAATGAGCTCTGTCTGTTCTGTTACATCATGTGTAATTACACTGTGTTCACAGTAGGTCCACAGCAGTGGAGGATAGTCTCATTCAAACAGAATAAATCAGTAGGATCTTTATTTTCTCTTGAAGTCCATTTACTGATTGGTATATTTATACTTTTAAACTATAAAAGTGTTTCTTCTACTGCTGCCAATATATTTTTATACTTATGAGTTCCTGCTTCTTCTGCAATTATCCAGCAGGTGGCGCCAGTGCACACTTTATCTCCTCAGTGTGAATGAAATACACCTGATAGAGATGTGTAGTGAGTGAAACACCGATGCAGAGGTGTGTGTGTGTGTGTGTGTGTGTGTGTGTGTGTGTGTGTGTGTGTGTGTGTGTGTGTGTGTGTGTGTGTGTGTGTGTGTGTGTGTGTGTATACACAAAGGGTTTGAAATGCCCTTTGTGTGTGTAAGTTTACACATATACACATTTTATTTACACTATGTAAATGAGAAGTAGAAAAACAGTTTCTGAAACTTTTCAGAGCGGTGTGAAGGTGGAGCTTTCGACTTACGGGGATTGTTTGCACATACTAGATTAAGTACGTACTAAATCAAATCTCAGCATGATGCCATAATGATCTGTGAGCAGCATTATGGCATCATGCTGATATATGAGAATGTCAGAAGGAGTTTCTGTGTCTTTGTGGAGTCAGAGAGAGCAGATGAACTGTAGTGTTGCATGAAGAACAGGCAGAGAAAGTGTGGTGCCAGGGGCTGGGGTGAGGTGTGCGGCAGGAGTGACAGATGAGATCAGACAGGAGTCTTCGTGGACTATGATGTTGGCAGATGACATTTCGAATTGAGCCTAGAGGTTGAGGTAAACTCTGGAGTGAAGGGTAAGGAGAGTGAGTAGAAGCAAGACAGAATACATGTGGGAACAACAGGGAAATAGCTGATGTCAACGATCCAATAGCATTTGGTGCAAAAGAGAGGTGAAGAGGAGAGTGCAGGCATGATGGAGACAGGTTTCAGGGTGATTTGTGAGAGAAAGATCGCAGCGAGAGCGAAAGGGAAGGCTTACACGATGGTAGCGAGACTAGCTATGGTCTATGATTTGGATACACAACAAAAACGCGATGGAACTTCCAAGTGTAAGACCAGAGAGAAGATGGATGCATGCAGTGAATTATGACACGCAGAGGGTTGGTGTGACAGAGGAGGATGCTGGGATAGGGTGAGGTGGGTTGCTTTGGCGACCCCTAAAGATAATGGTTGAAAGAAGCTTTGGATGCACAACCTTGGTGATGTTTTCCTGATGAGTTTCGGCTCTAAGTCAAGAGTCGGAGTCGGAGTTGTAAATTATGATCATGTTTGTAATAGTGACGATACTGCAGATGGTAAAGCATCTCAGTCTGTGGCTTATATTTGTGATTTATAAAGTAGTAGAATATGAGTTTATTTTTAAAAATTGATCTCTATTGCCAAAATGTTCAAATCAAGAGTCCACAAACCCGCCTGTGACCTCACAGTAGCTTCAAGCACCTTTTATATGCCATCAGCCAAAAGCTTCAGGCTGATCAAGTCAACCTGTCCTGAGTCACATGTTTTAATCTCACATGTCATGAATTAGTTTCGAATACAAAAATGAAAAAACGTGCTGTCTAGCAGCAGTGAGAACATCAGATATCCCATCATGCTCGTAGCTGATAATGATGTCCTCAATCCCAAGGACTCAAACTAAATTAGTCATCACAAAGATAGGCACACAGCACGCACACGCCGAGAGGGAGGTGTGGGTGGGAATGTGCAGCAGTCAACATTCCTCAGATTCTTCTCACAACTGCGGGATCATGGGATATGAAGTCTGGTCCCATGGGAACTGATGGCTTAACGCACACACAGACACATGCACTGTCATACTGGTGCAGAACCAGTACAGTGTATAGTTGTTAGTGTGATGATGGGACACCCGAAGATCAACTGATGGTTTGGTTTTGCATTTCTCTCTGTGGCCTCTAGGGGGCACATTTAGGTTTTTATTCAGTTCAAAACACGTGAAAGCAGTTCTTTTTTTTTTTTTTTTCTCTCCTTTTAAGTCAAGTTTGCTGATGGGCGATGCATGACTGTCTTTGTAAGGGCCTATTTGACTTCTTAAAAGATGCTGTGGGGATGCTGTGGGTTTGGTTGAATTTAAAATTGAGTCGAGGCTTTTAGGCGTGATGGTTAGTGGCCATATCAGCGAGGGTCCCCACAATGTACAAATGTTTGTGTTTGTAAGGGAGCAGGCAGAAAAACTAGGGCACTGATCTGTAATCTAAGAGCATTTTTTTTTCTAGACTACTACACGTATACAGGATTAAACACACACACACACACACACACACACACACACACACACACACACACACACACACTCTTGTACTGGAATTATATTAATACACTTTAATGCTCAGTGAAGAGGTTTTATCTTAGTTTTTAAACCGATTTAGTGTGACCTTGTTGACACACACTCGGTCTGTTTCTTATTCACTCAAAATGTCTGTGAAAGACACATGACAGACACACTGACCTCACTAGGGTCAGATGACTGGCATGAGTGGAGGCACATTAGATCTGCAACGGCATGTCTGGTATGCGAACACACACTTTTCCTTTCCTTTGCTCGTACAGGGTCTGAAACGTGGTGTCTCTTGTGTGAGTTTCAGGAGGGATGAACCAAATCGTATTACTGTTAGAGGAGGCCGCGTTTTAATGTCTGGGCCAAAATGTAGGAAATTTCCATTTTTCTGTCATGATGTAGACGTCACAGAACAAAATAGTTGTTGGTACAAGGAGAGACGTCTACCGAGCGCTTCAGATGCAACCTTGAGCCGACTGAATGATTCATCCTATCTGAGAATGCGTCATAATCGTACTTTCCAGTGAATAGTCTGTGTTGTCCATCACAAAGTGAGAAAGGAAGCCACTTCAAAGCACAGAACTGGCAGAGAGTCAGCTTTCTTCTGTCTATAAATGATGGATGGGTGCTTCTTTATACAATGCAGCTTATTGGTTTCAGACTAAAACTAAATAAATGAATAAATTTGGTTGCCAAAACGTTGCTGTAGGGGGTTTTTAGCCAGAAATTAACACATATGTTCAAGAGGGTTAAATAGCACTTTATCTACCAACAGGTTAGTTAGACAGCTGCTAATCAGTGTAGACTAAAAAAATATGTATTGTAAAAAAAAAAAAAAATTATTATTTTTATTTATTTTTAGATCATTTCACTCCAGCAGGCACCAACATCACAAACGTGTCCAGTTCAGGCACTTGAAAGCAGGGGAAGCCTCGCTGACAGCTAGCAGCAGTGCTGGGACAGCTGCCAATCAAAGACGCCATGCCCATTATGTTAAGCTGGTAACTTTTTGGCATGATGGCTAAAGTCCATTTTTACTAGACTGTGGACATTTTTAACACAGGACTCTATTAGAGTTGGCTTACTTTTGGAGTGGGCCTCAAGTGGACATTAGAGGTACTGCATTTTTTTTGTATCTCCAGGTTTCATTTTTCAGACCTGGAGGATGCTACTCGTGCCTTCCTAAGAAATGCACTCGGTATATTTTAATTTCACCAACATCAATGACATCATCTGGTCTAGTTCGTTCAATACGGTGCATTTCTACCACAGGTACACAAACCTACAAAACGGAACATCTAACATATAATTTGTTAGTTGGTCTTTCTGTTTGCCTTCCAAGTCTTTCTTCCTTTTGCTTATACACACCTTAACACACCCTCATACCCACGCTCTGTGTGTGTGTGTGTGTGTGCGTGTGTGCGCATGCGGTCACATTCCAGCCAGTCAGGTCCAGCCACGCCGAGTCGGCGTGTCATACACACACATTCCTCGAGCTGCAGCATTCCTGGACTCTTCTGCTCATCAGCAGGACGGAGGCTTGAATCTGTGACCTTCCGGTTACAGTAAAGTCTCCCTGCGGCACGTTGACACAGCTACTGAAAAATGTAGTTCAGTTCTTTCATATCCGGTGTCTTGGAAGAGGAAAAAAAAAAGATTCAGTTTGTTTCTTTCTCAGTTTTTGCTCAGCCTAACTTTTAATATAGAGCTGGTATCTTCTTTATTGAAACTCTGATGTCATGATGGTTTTTGTTTCTTGTAGCTTTTTCTTTACTTTAGTACGTAGTAGGGCTGGGCCATATCACACCATTCATGGTAATACAGGTATAATGTTGGGCAACAATAAGAAAATGAAATATCGCGATAGAATACGGGTAAAACGCGCATGTGCAGTGCCTTTGTTTACATACGCACATGGTGGAAAAAGTTGGGCAGTGATGGAGAATAAGAAGCGCGAAAGCGGATCGTTGAATGAAACGGATGAACCAAAATTGGTTTGTAAAAATGCTGCAACTTCAGTGGTGTGGAACTGGTTTGGCTTTCGTCCATCAGATACACAACAAAGCACTATTTTTGGTAGCGCATGCTAGCGGGCCGTCGTTATTACCGTGTTTTTCAGAAAATATGGCACACTTAACCCTGGAGAAACCATGGGGTCAAATTTGACCCCATGGTTTCCCTAGAAAACCAATGGGGTCGGCTCTGACCCCATTGGTTCTCCAGGGTTAAAATCAATCCTTTGATTTTTCTGAAAGTCGACAGTGCCCCTTATAATCTGGTGCTCCTTATGTATGAATTCTGGTTGTGTTTACTGACCTCGAAACGATTTCACGTGGTACATGGTGCTCGAAAATCTGTCAAATGTTTCAGTACGACTTTGCTAAGCTACAAACCCGCACCGCTTGATGGATTGTCGGAGCATTACAGCTATCGTAGGCAGGAGTCTCGCGGAGTGATACGTACTGTGCTTCAACATAATATCACCGTATTGTGTGTGTATAACCTCTTTGTGGATATTATACATGGTTATTCTGAGGATATGTCGGCCAATTTCCACTGGAAATACCTTTTGGTTAAACTGTCAGCAAGGAATTTGCATTTGTACTGTTAAATTTTTATATAACTTTAATGCACTTAAAAAAACAGCTGCTTGTTTAAGTGAAAATACATTGATGTTTTGGGTTTTTTTGGGGGGGGTTGTTTTTTTTTTTTTGCACTAATAAAGTTGTGGAGTTGTATTTTGTAAGTATTTTGTCTCGTGTCAATTATATCGTCAGTTATATCGTTATCACACATTTTCAAATGTATATCGTGATAAATATTTTTGGCCATATCACCTTGCTCTAGTACGTAGTGACAGAAATCATTATCAGAGAGAGAAAGTTCATCCAAAGTGCTAGGTTTGAAGCCAGACCTTGTATTGGCTATAAGTGTTTTTAAACCCCCTGATTTTTCAAGTTCTCTTGTGTAAACGAGAAGCAAACGTTCTTGTCAGTCAGACTGACACTTTCTCCTGTGAGCCTGTCAAAGCTGTCAGATGTGGGGAATTTAGCAAGGATTTATGCAAATATGTTTGTACATCAGGGCCATTTTCTGCCAGTAGTTTCAATGCAGGAGCTGATTGTTTTGATGTAATCTTCATTTTTAATTTTGCATACAGAGAAAATAAAAAACAAAATGTAATTCCTTTCTGTGTGGTTATGGCTTACCACCACAATTTAGAGCTGATATGGAGTCATAACAGGGTAAGAATTCACCAGTGGGTTTTTTAGGGAGATTAAACAATGGATCTAATTCGAATGAAATTGAACATACTAAAGTAACACTAACTCTACCTTTTTCCAGTGACTGTATATAAAAGATGGACATAGTGTGGTGCTGATCAAACTGTCAACTGGAGGAATGCTGCCCCCACCGGCCCTGAACAGGGGCTATTACAAGGCCATTCAGGGCATTCATTGGCTAATTTTCCAGACCAGGAAGCCACACCTATGTTGTATGTAAGATATGTTTTAATGTGACTTTATGGACACATAACTCAAGAGTTGGCCTCAACGTTGGACATGATTACTAGGGACTGTTTGGCAGTGGCTGTTGGAGGTTTCTGGCTCTGGCTGGATGAAATCGCTTGCAAAGAAGATGTTGCACCAAAAACTAAAAAAAAATGACTGGTTGTCCGTAGTTTTTCACATTTGTCTGCAAGCACATGCCAACATTTAGCCAAGCAGTAGTGTAAAAAAAAAAAGTCCACCCCCACCTCCCACCCCACAGTGACAGATGGTTCCCATAAGTCAGAGGTGACTGACACATTTGTAGACCTGTGTGATTTGGCCTTTAGCAACTGCCATCAACCCTCCACAACGCTCCCAACTAGTTGCGGAATACTTATTTTTCCCACACAACCAGTTTTTGCCCAAAGGTTGCAGACTAGTCTCCAGGCCTTGTGTCTTAGCCTATATTCACGTGATCTTACGTAGTCACTACGATTGACTGAAGCCATGTGGTTTAGATGAAAACTGTCTTCAAAACCTTTTATAACAAGTGGTTGTACCCACACAGGAATAAACCTTCTAGTAAATCATGAGCAAATAAAACTTAAATAGTGATGGTAATGTTTTTTTTGTTTGTTTGTTTTTTAAGTCATTTAAGTGGATAAAAGGTGCCAATCTGTAATAACATAGCTGTAACCCGTTTGCCTAAATATAAAATGTGCAGTAAAAACTGTGAGGTATTCAAACGTGGTAGCTGAAGTATAAATCGACCTTCTCCTTTTTTCCTCTTTTTTTTTATTTATTTATTTTTTTAAACCACTCATGTCTTTCTCTAACTGCACCATTACCATGGCAACCCCACAGAACTGTATTCTTATTGGTGGGCCGGTGTTCCGTTGACCCTCATTCATGTGTGTGTGAGCGAGGGAGCACAGCGAGGAACAGGTGCTCTGCTGTCCTGTCTCCTCTCTCTCCCGTTCCCTGTGTTTTACAGTGTGTAAGGTGACACCTGAAGAATGCCACTAAAACCTCGAGGCTTGTGTCGTTCTCGCGCCCCCACCCCAGTCTGTTTTTCTTTCTGAGTGCCTGTCTTCACCCACACATCTAGTATTTCTTCTTATTCTTAGACACACCTACATGATGTTTCTGACTGATGTCATCGAGCTGCAGGCTTCAATCAGATGACTAAAAGAAGAGGGATTCGGTTTGACAGTCCTTCACTGAAGTCTGTGGGAGAGCTCTGCAGCGGTGAAGGTGGTGCTAGAGCAACAACCTGCAGTGGGTGGGGAAAAATGCTTTGAGGCAAAGACTGCAAAGTTTCAAGCCTCTTTAAAAAAATAAAAAATAAAAAAAATATGACCATTAACCATACAGTGTTAACTCATCCACCATTTTTGATGTGCGACAGTTGTGGTCAAGTGAATAAGGGCGCAGTCACACAGACCTGCAGACTGGTACCCCACCATATGGAAAAAGTAAAAGCTGTACCTTTTGAAACATTTTTGCTGTTTTGCCAAGTCCCTAATTTTAGGTTTGAGACAAATAGACAATGGTTTTTAAATACTGCTTTCCCATCGGTTGTTGCTTAACTTCCTGTAATGGTTAGCACCTGGCCATTTCGTGTTCCTAACCGTTATTACCCCTGTCATCACTACTAGTCACTGAATTTGATTGACAGGGGTTCTTCCTGTGCACACTCCTCTGTATAGTTGCACTCAGAGTAAACTTAATGCTCCTTCATGTTCAAAAGTTTCCAGCTCAGGTTCGTCTCCTCTGAGGTTCTCTTGGGTCGCCCAACTGGAAGTAGACACTGGTTTAGGAGCACCAGAATCCAGTGCCTGCCAGTGGACTTGCTCTTTATCAAACTTTAACATAGTTTTTATTTTAATTTTTGTATTGCTGTGATAGTTGCCACATACCAAGCAGGTAGAATTAATCATTGTATTAAAGAAATATTGCAACTCTGCATATTCCTTAGATTTTAGGATTACCCTCTTTACATGCTAATGCTTGATCACACACAAGGCCAGCATATTAACAGGGCTTTTTATTCTTCCTCTGAGTGTGTATCTTAATTCTTTCTTTCCTTTGTGCCTTTTTTCCTTCCATCCTCCTATCCTGATTGCTAGTGCTGGTGAATCTCTATTTCTCCCCTGGGAACGATTGCAGCTTAGAGACACACACACACAGAGGTACTCATTAAAATATACATGAGCACTAACTCCCTTACATTCCTCCAACACTGTCGGCATTCATTATAGATGAACACACACATGCGCGCGCACACACTCTCTGCACGGTGCAGTGGCATTGTTTACTTCCATTATAAACCACTTGTTGTTTGCTGCATTGCACCTCTGTAATGTGTCCCACTGGAAATGACTTCTGTCTTCAGACCCGGCAGCTTGTTAGCTCGCTAAGCTCAATTTCTCCTCACGGTAGATGTTCCTAGTAATTGACTATTTTTACAGTAGCATTTTATTGTTGAAGTAATTTTTAATTGAGGGCTGACGAAGCTGTAATAACTTACTCAACCATTATGTTCAGTGGCTGCACAAGCTTGTTTTTGACTCTTAAAATATCTCTGCAAGTTGAAAGAAAACAACAGTTGCTAATGGCTTATGGTGAAGAACACGGGAGCGCTATTAAATTTAAGCTAGTAAATGTTTATTTGATAGCATAAGAAATATCTTTGTCTATTAAATTTGCTACAGTTCATTTAAATTGGTTTGTTTCCTTGGTATGGATCTGTCTTTTAAGCATAGTCTATAAATTCTGAGGAGTTTCAGATGCTTAGTGTTAGCCTGCTTTATCCATTCTAAATCCAGTTCTGATGTAAATGCACTGGTCCTTTATATAGCGCTGTTCTACTCTACTGGAGCACCCCGAAGCACTTCATACAACTCACCTCCTTCACCCACTCACACCCATTCATACATTTTTTTCTATGCCTAAGTGCTTTCTATCTAATACTGACACACATTCTTACTTTAATGAACCTTTCATTTCTTCCCCAAAGATACTTTTAGCATGCAGACTGGAGCAGCCAGGGATCAAACAACCAACTTTCCAAATAATGGATGACTTGTTGTACCTCTTGAGATAGAGCCACCCCAGATGTGTGTATTGGGATCATTGCTGCGTTGGGACAAAGATCTGTGTTTAAGTTTGAATCTAAATTGATTTCATGTGAGGAGTTTGAAGGTAGTTCTCTCTCATATTTCCATCCACATTGTGCAATATGCATTGCACTACCACCACCATGCTTGACAGTTGGTACACGGTCCTCCAAATATACCTATTGTCACTGTGGCCAAACAACTAAATCTTTGTCTCATCTCAGCTGGTTGTTCCTGAACATGAACGTGACAGTTTGGACATATATGTTTCTTCAAGACCTTTGGAAAGTGGTGACACATCCGAATAACTTATGTGCAATTGTTTGAACTGATGATCTTGGAATGAGCAGTTATTAAGAAATGGCTCCGTGACAGCTTCCTAGCTTGTTTAAGTCTACAATTCTCCTTCTTAGATCTTCCTTCAAGTTTCCCATTTTTCGGAATATTGCAGTCAATGCAGTGCTGTCAAATTTAATTTTATGCTAGCAAAGAGAAACTACCAGTTGTAGTCATTCATGATCACTGTTGAGAGGTAAACAGGCCTTGGTGTAGTCAAGTTAAAACACTGGATAACGTTCAGCAGCATTTATTAAAACTGTGAATGTATGTTTATATTTGATCCTGTAGGTATACTTTTGACGCTGTGTGCATTAGATCAAATCTGAAATACTTTTAAAAGTCATTAAAGATTTAATCCTTCCACCCTGGAAACATCACAGTTGAACAAAGCTGACTGATACTGGCAATATTAAGGTTTTTGATTATATTAATTTTGCACTTTCCTATATCAGCCCAGAATTTTACACGTGCTGCATCTCTATCTGTAATTGTAATTAATTTCATTTACACTGTGCTGGTTCACAACAGCACTCGTCTTGTTGCAAGGTGCTTTTTAATTGTAAAGGAAAGACTGCAATAGTAGAGAGAGAAACCCAACAGTCAGACAATCTCAGTGTAAGCAGGACTTGTTGATGGGTGAGAGGAGGAGCTTCATTTTCACAGGAAGAAACCTCCAGCAGCTCAGGGATTGGCTGCAATCTGCTGCATGTGTTTGCAATGGAAACTGAATCATTTCTGGAAGATGCTCTGCATCATGCTGGAAACCAGCCTCTCTGGTGTTAGGTGTTAAAATACATTTAATCTCTCTGCAGCCTGGAGGGGTGAATGATTTATGATATTTTTGCACATGCTTTATGGCCGGTGACCTCCTGACCTTTGAAGCGCTCACTGTTGGTTGTTTAAGCTGCATTATTGATGCTAAAATGAACTCTGAGCGTGAGGGTCTTCTTCTACTCTAACACGCAGCCATCTACGGAGAGAAAGAGATGAAACATCATCTGCTGAAAATCAATCTTTCACACATTCCTCTGATCCTCTCTCCTCCTCCCCTCCCCCCCTCTCTCCTTATTGATTCCTCACACACTCGTAGGGTAATCCTGCTAACAGACATGTGCGTGCACGCGCACACACACACACGTACATCCACATCTGCCTTTGCCTTTTTGAAGTGTGACTGTGTGTTTCTTTGAAGTGGTTTTCTCTGTGTTTCTCACTGTCTGACAATCGTTAGCTCTGAGGATCGCAAACATACAAAAAACGTGTTTGGTTTGACGATTTTTCTTTAGAAATAGAAGAAGTGTAAAAAAAGTAAAAAAGAACAAGACAAATTCTTTTGCTTTATAAAATTTTTACCTTCATTTCAGCTGATATTTGTGCATTCAGTTCATTAAATATGGATAGCGGAGTCTCTGGAGAGTTGCCCTGCATTACTTTATATTCATGCTGGAAAAGAGAAATAAAATCCTGTTCCTCACATCACCAACACTGTCTCAACAAGATTAGGTACCAACTCTCTCTTTGTGCCTCACAGTATATGTTCCTACTGCTTTTAATGGAAGTACCTGACACTCATCCCTCCCTCTTACCCAATTTCGGGTTACAGAGGCTGGAGTGTGTAACTCTGCCATCACAGAGCAAAACATGGCCCGAGGACCAGAACCAGTCCTGGGCCACAACATCCTAAAGCAACCTCTGGGGGGGGGTTTCCTTTGGGTGAGGTTCGACCGATTAATAACAGTCGAACCTCACTGGTGTGAGTGACTCAGACTGACTTGGTGAGCTTAACCCTGTGAGGTCATAGTCACTGCTGGTGACCCCAGCTATAGCTCCAAACCCTAGCTGCTTGGAGACCAGTGAAAATAATTTTTTGGAGTGTGTGTAAATAGTTTCTGTGGATTCTGACCTAGTTGGGTTAAGATCAGAAATTGTCACAGCAGATAAAATCAAAATCAACCTTGCACAAAAAATAAATGTATTTTGATTTGTATTGCCTCCTAAAGGTAAATTTAAAAAAATAAAAAAGAGAGAGCTAACAGAAGAGAACGCAAAGAGCTCTAAATCGAAGCCTAACTATAATAAAATATTTCCTGTATATAAACTTAAGGTAACAGAGTTAAAACAGATGTTGGACAAAGCGCTGGGGGAAAAAGTTGGTAATCTGGGCTTACAGGCCTCGTGGGCAGTAGGACTATCAGAGAGATGAGCTGGTGCATAAAACACAATGAGAAATGAAAATCTGCTTTATTAGATTGCAAAGTCATTGAGCCAAAGGAAATAAACAGGCGCTTTTGTAAAAGATAGGAACTAATAGTGGGAAGTGAGGTTCCCCTAGTGTGTGTGAGAAGAGTGCTTTCTATCTACTGTTACGGATTCAAATACTGGGGGTGGATACAAGAGGAAAAACCACAATAACAACACTGGTCCGGCCAGGTTGAGTCAAACGATGATTTTAATGATCACACGCGTGGGAGATGGACACCGTACGCAGACAGCCTCAGATCTCAAAATGGTGGAGCACTGATCAACCTCTTATAGCCTCTAGTGGCCCCCACCTAATCATAAAAGCCTAAACATTCACATTCTTTCTCTCACACGGCGCCTAAGCTACGACCTTGGCTCCATGTTTATCTGCTCCTGCTGAGATGGGGCAGAAAACTCCAGTATGTTCTGTTCTCTTCTAATCAGACAAATAAGGCGATGGCTTTCTGCGAACAGTATTTCTTATAATTCAGCAGTATAATGCATCATAAAACAATATCATTCAGTCACAATAAATCAGCAGTCTAATGTAATGCAAATCAGTTTAACAAATGCAATAGTTATCACCTTCTTCTAATTCAGGAGAATAATGCAAACTAAAACTACATAATAATTCACAATCTTTAATTAGGGGTCTAACATGGCATAAAATAATATTATAATCCCTCACTAGACTGCCCATTGAAGTTGACCGTTTACTTTTCCAGTGTGCAGAGATGGTGAAGTAACTACAGAGTGACTCTGTAATTCTGACTGCTGGATTTGGAGTCTTTCTAATATTACAATGCATGCATTTTTAAGAG